AATTAACCAAAAAAAAATCTTACTTATTCCCAGACAAAATAAAAAGGAAAAACTACCATTTTATTGTAAGAATGGCAAAAAAATACACCAAAAATCACTGCAAACTTACTGCGAGAAGACAGTAATAATATCGCCCTCGTTCAGTTCATACGGCAATCCACCCACGTAAATCCATGCTGAGCCGGCGTACTGCTGATGCCATGATTTCCCGGTGGTTCCTCCCAGTAGCAATTCCCGTTCGGTGATTTTATTCTGATTTTTTATCGCTGTCAACGGATTCATTTTGTTGCGCTGCAAAAAAATCGCAAAAAACGTCATTTTACTCGTCCAAAAAATCCCGTATTTTCTACAGCTCTGGCTGGCCGTCGTTGCTTCAAAAAAGTTCATTTTTTTAAATTTTTTCATATAAGTTTTATTTTTTTTTCCAAAAAATTATCCATTCGGTCAACCAGTTAGTTGGCTGACCATCGGTCATCTGATTACCCCGATGCTCCAGTATTTAATCGCAAATTCGATTATAAATTAGCGGGTTCGGCCTATCAACCGCCGAAAAAAATTTTTATCAATTTCACCCAGTTCGGCCGCCTCACTTGGACCGTGCATTTTTCATTCGGCCTTATTCGGCCCTTATGTTTCGCTAATTTATAATTGCATCTTTGAGTAAACACTGGAGTGCCCGGTAAATCAGGTGACCGAATGACCGGTGGTCAAACAACTAACTGATTGACCGACTGAATAATTTTTTGGAAAAAAAAATAAAATTTACGTGAAAAAATTTAGAAAATTGGACTTTTTTTTTCAGGCGAAAATCATTCAACGAAACTTGAAGAAAGTGGAAAAAACAAGAATCTTTGAGTACCACGATTTTTGGGGGAAAAATCTCAAAAAATATGAAAAATTGGATTTATTTTCAGCAAAAATTATTCAGCCAAACTTGAAGGAAGTGGAAAAAACAAGAATCTTTGAGTACCACGTTCTTCGGGGAAAAAAATCTTCCGGGTTTCACAGAGGCAAGTAAGTGCCCTTCAGTGAAAAATCTTCCTTTGAGTACCGTCGTGTTTTAGTACCATGATTTTTGGAAAAAAATCTTTCGGGTTTTTTCCGCAGAGTCATGTGCCCTTCAGTGAAAATTTACATCAGAAAATTCAAGGTCTGATTTCGCCAAGAATTATAATTTTTTTCTCGATCACTCACCAGGCGATGAATATTGGTCCGGTTTTCCGGTGGGCTTTATTGGGGGATAAAAGTATGATATCGAGGTCCAATTGTGGTAATGGCAAGAAATGTATACGATTCTTAATGGACCGAAACATTTCTTGCCATTAAAAAAATTTTTCAACATTTTATTAGTTCTTTTAACATAAAAATATCTTATTTTATTTTATCTTATCTAATTGGGTCCCGGCCGGAGAAACTCATATAAATGTGGAAAATTTGAAATTTCCGGATTTCAGGGAATACCAAATCCACGGAAAAATCGAGATTTCTGGATTTCAGGGAATACTAAATCCACTCCGCCCGAATATCTGATTGGAGGAGAAGCCGATTTAAAAATTTTGGTGACCGACAAATCCAATTTCGGAGATTATCGGGGAAGTGCTGCTTTCGTAATTACTCCTTTCACAAACGCATTATTATGGCTTCACAATCTACTTGGCTGAAGAAGTAAGCATGAACAGCTGATGAGTCAGGCATCAAAGTTCTATCGATTGGGAAGCACTACTCCAGCATCCGCTGAGTGTTTCTGAGCCGCCATCGGAGTTCTGGGATCTTCGGTACTCAATGATGCCCGTTTGGGATTTTTTTTTTGCTGAGAGAAGAGTGGTTCAGCTGAGATAGCAGAACCCGGAACCTCTCCCTAACCTCTCCCCCTCCCCCCCTCCCACCTAATCTACCCTCCAAATCCCGAACCTATCTCCCGTACTTTAGGTCCTACCCTCCAAACCCCGAAGCTACCTTCAGTACTTTCAATCTAACCCCTGCCACTCTGGCAACCCGAACTATTTTGATCGTTCGGGTTGCCATCAAAACATCAAAACCTCCTTCGCATTTGCCCCCTGCGAGAGGCGAAAGCACTCGGAAGTATTCCAAGGGATAGAAAGTAGCAAAAGCCATCAGTTGGCACGTACGTCGATGGCCCCTCTTTTAAAGGTTGGTTAGAAGTACCGCGAGATGGGGAACGGCGGGAAGGGTGGAAGAGGTGGAGCCAGTTTCCCAGCACATGCCAGTACCAATTTACCACCGAAACGAATGAACGAATCGTACATGCAACTGGCTGTCCCAGTGGCGCAGTCGAATTCTCCATGAGTTTTTTTTTTTTTTTTTAATGCCATTTTTACATGCGTTTTTTGCTTTCGGAACAGGGGTATGGACAGTGGCAGATAGCGCTGTGATTATACTAAGGTACGGGGATTCAGATCTAACAAAGAGGCAAACAAATACCTCCACGAATCGTCCACTAGTTCCGATGGTAAATTGGTACTGGCATATGCGTAAGGAGTCAAACCCGCCATCAGCTTGCTTCTAAGTAACTCTCGGGACCGGAAGGGCATCGAGAGCTTGTCAGTGGTTTTTAACAAGTGATTCCGAATGCCAGCTTCTCTCACAGAAGGTGAATATGGAAGGAATTTTTGACTTCTCGACTTTTAACTTTCGATAGGATGTGAAAAATGCCTTCCTCAAACTTATTCATAATGCCTTATCTTAAACTTATGGATGCTGCAATCGGCTTATCCATAACTTATTCATAATTATTCGTCAAATTTATCCATAATTATCCATAACTTGTCCAAACTTATCCATAATTAATTTATCCATAATTTCTCGACTTTTAACTTTCGATAGGATGCCTTATCTTAAACTTATGAATGCTACAATCGGCTTAACCTGGATGCTACAGTCGGCTTATCCATAACTTATCCATAATTACTCGCCAAATTTATCCATAATTGTTCATAACTTATCCAAACTTACCCATAATTATCCATAACTTATCCAAACTTATCCATAATTTGATCCCTTCCGGTTGATCTGGTTAAGCCGATTGTAGCATCCATGTTGATCTAGGGTGCAAAAGTAAGGAAGGTGTATAAGCCGGGGGGAAAATAGTAGGAAAAAACAATTGAGTTAAGACGTTTCGGTCCATTAAGTCATATACGTTAAGTCTATCGAGACAAAATATGCATGTCAAATTGGCCTCAAATATATACTACGTTCAGAAAACACAACGAAAAACTACAGTTTATATATCCTGTACCGCTGGAGCCAAAAAGTTTCTAGTACTGGCACTGTGCTATCAATTAAGCTGTTTTAAGTGTATTTACCTGTGTTGCGCGATGAAATATACAGATATTTTTAAGGCAAAAAATCTAAAAAACCGGCAAAACCCCCTCCCCCCAAAAAAACCCCCCCCCCCCTTCGTTT